TAAAATAAATAGTTTTTATACAGTTTATATTATAGTTTTAATTAGTTTTTTAAATGGATATTGATCCCTGTGCCTTTGTTACATAATATAGATCTAAGTTTAAAAAAATGAATGTAGTGCTTTTCCATATGGCAAGCAATTTGTTTTTGGGTAAAGGCCTCACTATTATGACTATCAATTGTTGCTTTATCTTGAGGGGTGCCAGAGGTATTGAAGGTATCTGGACATTTACTGAGGGTTGATAGATCCTACTTCCAGACCAATCAATAGCTACAGCAATACGGCGCAGATGATTCTCCTGCTTCACACTTAAGCAATGATGTCAGTCTTCTGTTTTTGTTTTACTTGCTCTTTTAGGTTGGAGAAGCCATGCAGAAGTTGTGTGACCGCAAAAACATTGGGAAGATCATCTTAGACCCTACGGCAGAGCCAAGGCCTAAGGTAAAGAACATCGTAAAACATGCGACCTCCATAAGGTTGCAGATAAAGTAGGACCTACTATTATTTCCTTGAAATGATGTTTTGCTCTGTCACTATGTATTTTATGACGGTCAATGATCTTATCTTGAGTGTAGGAAATATTTACCCAATGTCTGTGTTTTCTTTCAGCTTCCCAGCAGAGTATTGCTTAATTTCTTTAGGTTGTTTTTTTGGGGGTTTTTTTTTGGGGGGGCAGGGTTTTTTTTCTCTGTTCCTCGTCAGTTTCTGCAGTACCTGTCCTGCTTATCAGTGGTCACAAGGCCGACAAAAAGTCTGGAATAGATACTAGTAAACTACACTTTGATCTTAGCCAAAAGTCTGAGTTAATTTCAGGAGCTGATTTTTGTCTTTAGGTACTATGTATTTTACGATGATCAATACTCTTATGATAATAATGGTACAGATAACTAAATTTATATAGTGCCCATTCCCGTACAATTCAGCTCTTAAGGCATTTTACAATACATCATCTTAACAACAAAATACACGGTCATGCTTGCATTTATCTGATCTTGAGAAGTATCCTTGATTCAACCCATTGCCAAGCAGTTTTCTCCCACTACATTTAAACAATTTACTGGACTGAAAATTTACTCATTACAGAATGAACGTCAAACGTTCTTTTACATTTCGAAGCTGTTTTGTTTTGCGTTATTGATAAGTATTATCTTTCTCTTTATGTTATATACATATTATGTGTATATTGCCCACTCTAGCTCTTCGATATCCACTCTGGAGGACTTCATGCAAGATGAAAAAAAACCATGGTGATCTTTGGAATTTTCTGTTAAAAAAAGGCAACCCTTCTTCATGTAAAAAACTGTATTAACAGACTGGACCATTGCTTCATGTGTTTGATTTATTAATTAAATTTCTTTGTCATTGATTTTTCTTCGCAGTGTCTGCAACATTTCATATAATGATGGTGTTTAGACAAGTGCTAGTTGAGATAGCATCATTTGTTCTTATTTTCCCTTTCCCTTTTCAGACTCCAGAGAAGAAAGCTGCTAATGCTGAGCCATCAACAAATGCCGAGGGAGGAGCGGCAGGTGGCGAAGAGAAGAAAGAGCCCGTTGCTAATGGAGAGTGAGCAGAACAGTTATCCCCACCATATTTTGAGTGAGTACGAACCTATCACTGATTCATGCTTCTCAAACTTTTGTATTACTCCCACAGAACACTAGCTACTCCAGTTCCAGGATAATATAAAAGAAGGTTTCATTCCCGTCGAAATTTTGACATTTATCTTATATTTTGGTAACACACTGTGTTGAACATTTTGAAGAGGAAATAGGCTGAGGGAGGATGAACATGGAGAAGAAAACTTGAGGAACGAGGTCTGGGGGTTTGAATTATGAAGAGCAATTACAGGAGTTTATCTGTTGTTTCAGAAGAATGGTTTTGGTGCAGAGTTTTTCTTCGTATTGATAGTAAATTCCATTTATTTTTATCTGCAGGTGATCTTCATCTGTTTGGGAGCCACATTTGTGCATGATTCACCCAGCGATGTCATTGTTGCTTCCTTTACTTCAACCTGTAGCCATGCCAAAAGTTTGTGAAATGCTTCGCTCTACAGTAACAGTTTATGCTGATGACGATTAGCCTCCTTGGAAACTTTCACTGAAAGAAAATGTCATATACTTATGAGTTTAATTTTTTATTTGGACAGTTAAAGTCATGTGCAGTATTCTTTGAAAACTACTGTGCGTAAAACAACGTGATTTTTGTGCTGTGCAAAATAAAAATTGCGTGTTTCGACAACTTTAATCTGGTAAATTAGCTAGATTAAAGTAAAATATGTCAACATAATATTATAAGAAACTGGCTCTTTTGCCCTTGTGATTAATTGTGACATTACGTTGAGGTTTTACTTTGGCTGTGACTTTGTTTTTTTCTGACAGATTTGCGTAACAGTGGCCATGATTTTGTTTTGTAGACAAGAGCCACAGATAAAGGCATTGTTCTAGTCCCAGTGTTGTGCTTGTCTTGTTACCCAGATCATGTTTCCCCCCTTGTGATGGTGATGATATATCAAATATTATATATATATATAGATTATAATATATATATATAT